TTAGCGCAGGGCTGATCTTCCTCACACACACACAAAAAAAGTATATAACTTCCAAAGTAACAGAAGGAAAAATAGAATATTCAGCCATTCCAAAAGCAGGCAAGAAAGGAGGATAAAAAGAACATAGAGCATGTGAGACAAATAAAAACATTTACTAAGATGGTAGAATTAAATCCAAATATGTCAGTAATTACATTAAATGTAAATGAACAAAATACTTCAATTAAAAGTCAGAGTATTGAACTGAATAAAAGAATCTATATACTGTTTATAAGAAACATTTAAAACATTAGTTTAAAAAATGTTGAAAGTAAATGGTGGAAAAAATATAAATATTAACCAAAATTAATATTAATAGTATATATTAATATCAGTCAAAGTAAATTTTAAGGCAAAAAGCCTTAATACAGCTAAAGAAGGATACGTCATAATGATAAAAAGTTCAATCGTACACATATTATAATGTAGCTTCAAAAATATGAAGCTAAGATTGACAGAAACCACAAGCAGAAGTGAGCAGAGAAACAAGTAAGGATACAGATTATTTGAACATGATCAGCAGCAGACTTGACTTGGACATGTATAGATTGTTGCACCCAACAATTACAGAACTCATTCCTCAAATATTTATGACTCCCCACCTTCCAAGCAAATAATAGGATTGAAATTCTCCACCTAACTTTGTGTTAGGTGTGGCCATAAGACTCTTTTTGGCCAATGAAATGTGAGTAGAAGTAACTTCCAGGTGTGAGTGTACTAGTAAATGTATCTCTTTTCCCTGTTAAAAGCAGAGGGCTGGAGCTCCCTCAGTCTGCTCCCTTGATTGAGGATGACATTGAGCAGAGCTTCCCAGCCAACCTACAAATGGACATGTTGATGTTGATGAGCGAAAGATAAACCCCCGTTATTTTGAGTCTCTGAAATTTGGGGATTATTTATAACCACAGTGTAACCTAGTCTATCCTGATTAATACAGGTAGAAGAAGAGAAGGACTATTTTCCAGGCACAGAGATGAGCCTGTCTTAAAAGAGTATGGTGTGATGAGTCCTGGTGAGTTCATTGTGGCTTAAGCTCCAGGGAGGGGGTGGGGGGGGACCGGGCTGGGGCAGGGAGAGCAGCTCCCAAGAAGAGACTATGAAGATTAGCTAGAGGCAAGTTTGGAAGGGCCTTGGATTTAACAATAAGGAATGGACATTGTCCTAAAAGTTGAAGGTGCTCCAGAAGTTGGTGACTGGTTGAATATTGGTAGCAATGGTGAGGATGAACTGGGGAGAATCTAGTCAGTGAGAAAGGAGGGAATTAGGTAGAGAGCTACAGGTTTTTTTCCCCATTCCCAAGAGGTAGCCATTATTCACAATTTGGTGAGAATCTCTCCAGAAATTGCATGCACGTGCAAACACACACGTAAACCAATTTTAGAAACACAAATCAGATCAAGTATACTCTACCTACTATTCTGAAAAATGTTTTCCAGTTCATAATATCTTCATTGGTATTTTCTGTGTCATCTCAAAGAGATCGGCCTGTTTCTTTTTTATTGGCTGCTTAGTATGCTGTTGTATGGCTGTACCATAATTACATAATCATTCCCCTGTTGACAGACATTTAGGTTGTTTTCACTATGACAAACAATGTTTCAGTGACATCTTGTGGATAACATCCATACATTTTAATGTCTTTTTTCTATAAGACCAGTTTTGTTACCATTTGAATGGTGAAAATTTTAGGCTGGGTAACAGGAACACAAACAGGTAGGCCATTTTTAATTTTAATTTAATTTATTTAATTTATTTTATTTTATATTTATTTTAATTTATTTAATTAATTAATTTAAATTTAATTTTATTTTTATTTTTCAAATTATTTTATTGAGGTCACATTGGTTTATGACAGTATGTAAATTTCAGGTGTACATCATTATATTTCAGCTTCTGTATAGCCCAGGCTGGCCATTTGAGGTGATAATTTAGGTTAGGGAGTGCCTAGTATGACTCAATTATGCCCAGAAGAGGTATCGAACATAGTGGGCACTCAGTAAATATTTGTTGAATGAATGAATGAATCCACATCCACTATAGACGCTTGTTGGGCTTGCCCTGCCCTCCTCTATAATAGGATTTCTCAGACTCAGCACTACTGACTTTTAGGGCCAGATACTTCTTGTTGTAGGGGGCTATCCTGCACATGTAGAATGTTTGGCAGCATCCCTGGCCTCCACCCACTAGATGCCACTAGCACAACCCCTGCTGCATAACCAAAAATGTCTCCAGAAATTACCAAATGTCCCCTGGGGAATGATCGCTCCTGGTTGAAAACCACTGATTTATAAAACAGATTGTATTTGTGTAAGGCCAAAGGCCCTTTCTAAAAACAACTGACTCTACAAAGGCTGATCCTACTTCTCCCCAGTCCTCTCATATTAAATTGGTCTTTCTTCCTGGGTTTTCCCAGTCATTTCATAGAGATTCCTGGATACCTCATTCTTGGTTCAGATTTCACTTCTCTAGGGCCACCTTCCCTGACACTTCCCCCATGAGTTAGGTCAATCTTCATTATGTATTGTCAGTCCCCATTATACATTCTCTAATCACCAAATACTCCTCCTTGGAAGTACTTATCAAAGTTGAATTCTTACATTTATTTGAGTAATTATTAAATTAATCTATTTCTGTCACTCAACTCCCTAAAGATGGTCACGAGTAAGAATTTGGCATGTAACATATCAGTTTTTGCTCACCATTTTTATATTTAGTGCCTGAAACAATGCCTGACACATAGTAGGTACTCAGTGGGTGTTTGGTGGATGGACAGATGGCTGGGTGGACGGACGACAGCCTGTTATCAGTCAGCAATAGTCAGCCCTAGGGGGCAGCAGTCTGCACCCATTTTTGCTCCTGTGCCTGCTAAAAACAATTTTGAAAAACAATGTTACCTGTACTCACATTTAAAAATCGGTATGTTAACTGTTCATCATTAAATTCATATGGTTTCAAGATAATAACTTCCAGCATATTGTAAATACTGGAATTTAAAAATTAAACTGTGACATCATTCTTTAAATGTACTTATTAATTTGTTATTATTATTATTATTATTTTTTTTTTTTTAAAGATTTTATTTATTTATTTTTCCCCCAAAGCCCCAGTACGTAGTTGTCTGTCATAGCTGCACATCCTTCTAGTTGCTGTATGTGGGATGCGGCCTCAGCATGGCTGGAGGAGTGGTGCCTCGGTGCGCACCCGGGATCCGAACCCGGGCCGCCGGCAGCGGAGCGCACGCACCTAACCGCTAAGCCACGGGGCCGGCCCCTGTTATTATTTTTAATATTCTCTTGGATTCACTTTCACAGTACTCTCCCCCAAATTCAAGGGATGGAAGAGACAAAGCTGTTAAATGAAAAAATGCTTCAATTAATCATTAAAGGAAGCTGAATTAAATTATTAAAGGAAGCTTCCGGTTCGGGGAGCTAGACCTGAAGATTTTTACAGCTGGGGCAATGGCAAATTAGTAAGATTTGTGAGGAGTGAGGGGTATGCTTTACAGTAAGGGAAGGATTATTGTGAACACAGACACGTTCTCAGGCAAACCAGTTTTAGGAAAGAGTACCTACAGAAACTGAAAGCCTGCAAATCAATTCTATGAAAATAACCCTTGGCGTGTCCATTGGAAAGTCTAGAAGGCCACCATCCTGGGGGTAATGCAGCCTAGTGGCCTGCAGAGGGCGGTGTTGGACAAGCTGTTGGGCTCCATCTCCTGCTCTCCCTCAGGGTAGCAGAGAGAAAAGGCAATTCACCCTGGATGCAGCGGGGAGCCCAGGCGGGCGGCCCAGCCACGTCCTCTCTGGTGTGTGTGTTTGCACAGTGAATTATTTGTAGGAAGTCGGCTCCAAGGAGAATGGTGGCCAGAGACTCTCCATCTTGTGCCTAGAATCAGGGCCTGGGACTGTCAACAGACAAAAACCTCATTCTTTCTCCCCTTCAAGAACTGAGTTTGGGAAAGAAATTGAGGAGTGAAGTCATGGGTCTGAATCAACTGTGAGTTTTTGTTTTTCCTCTTATGAAATGAAAACAACAGTGAAATCTCAATTATTTATAGCTTCAGGAGACAGTGAGCCGAAAGCTCCTGCTCCAGAGTCAGACAGGTGGGGTCTCGGCTCTCTCTGCTCTGTAAGCTCACCTTTCCCAGCCTCTGCTCTCTGGCTGTCAAATTGGACTGGGATTACCTTCCTCACAGGGCTGTTGTGAGAATAATGAGACAACGCAGGCAAAATGCTCAGCGTATGAATGGTATTTAGCAAGAGCTTAACAAATACCAGTGATGATGGTGAAGATGATGATACTGAATTGGCATTTTGTCAGGCCCGAGTGTTTCAAAACTTGCCATTCATGTCTGAAGAGGAAGAATCAGAGGTGAAAAATCAAGCTATTTAAATGTTTCAAGTTTTACAAGCTTAGGAATTAGAAGCAGAAACAGCCAGGAGAGGAAGGCAGAATCGGTACGATTCAACTTGAGAGCCTAGCTCCTCGACGTTGCTCCCGCGTGCCTTCCAGGACTGGGGCTCTCACCCCAGTGTTGGTAAGAGTGTCTCTGTGTCTAAAATAGGGTGTACATGACGGCCATACATAGGTCGACTGTATGACATGACCATCAGCCTCAGACGTAAAAGCAATGCCTCTTCCCATTGTATTGATCTTCTGTGAAACCTCAAAGGGTGGGGATGAACTAGTTGAAAAAAAATTGGTAATTTGGACAAATTGCTGGGATATACTGAAAGTAAGGCTCGGAGCAAGCCCCCCACTCTTCTGCCTTACACGGGGAAAGGTAACAGGGACCAGTTCAGAGAGAAGCATGGAGACAACTTGGATGAGATAATTGTCCTTTCACCTGGCAGCTGTCCAGCCCCCAAATAGCTTTTGTGTGCAGTCCAAAAATAAGATCACATGAGAGGGGGAGAAAGAAATACACAAGTGCTTGTCCGTGGGCTTTCTGTGGGTACACCAGCATCGGCTGCACTGGTAGGGCCCCAAGAGGGCGGCCTCATGACACACTCGGCTGCCTCCCCCAGGCTCCCCAAGGCTGGAAGAACAACCTATATCAGGGTGGGTGTGGTGTGTGGTTTGCACTCAGCCCTTCTCTTGGGGCTCCCTTGAGCTCCATTCACACCAGAGAGAGCAGGAGAGAGAGGACAAGCAGATCCAACAGCCTCGACTCCAGGGGAATAAGGGCATTGCCTCCTTTTGTGGAAGGACACGCCCTTCTGATGGAGAATGGGAACTCCCTTCCTCCTGCAGCAGCCTGCCTGCAGCGGTCCTGCTAGGACAGTGTGGATGCTGTAGGCTGATGCAACTGCTGTCGCCCCAGAAAGACAGCGCTCCACAGCCAAAGCAAAGAGGTGAGTGCATCGGTTTCTCCAAGGGGCTCTGATGGCTATGGACTTTCGGCTTGGCTTCATGCTTGCTCTCAGCATGAATGCTCTCCCCCACCCCCTTCTTCCTCTTCTCCCTGATCTGGGTCTGTGGCAGGCTTGAGTCTATGTGATGGATGCTAGCTTAAAATATTCCTGTACTCCCTTCTTTCATTCGGAGGCCAGTTTGCTCCCAGAAAGAACTGGGTAGGTCTAGTTCTTAGTGGGGAAGCAGGAAGTGACTTCTACCAAGTGAATTATCTTTGCTGAGATCCAAGAGGACGTTTCCCAGGAAATCATTAGACAAATCCCATTATGGTAGAGTTAATGCTTAGTTTTAAAAAGCCCTGCATGAAATAGGAAATAAATAAAAGGATGCCAGCTGATTCTTTGTTATTGGGCAAAAGAAAAAAAACAAAAATGGGATATGCAGAACTTCTTCTCTCCCCAGCCCCTTCCCCATCTCTTCCTGACTTTCTAGAGCCCTGCAAAATATGCTTAACAGGTCCAAGAACTCCTTTCTTTGGTTGAGAACAAGAGAAATAAAATCAAAGGTTTGGGGGAGAATTACTCTGTAAGCAGAGTCAAGGGACAAAGAAGAGAAACAAATTTTGCAGGGTCTTGGTTTCCATTCTAATGTCTCTGCATTCCCAAGCATGCACGTGATGTACCTGGGCCTATTTAGGAGTACGTATGGATGTCTCCATTGCTTGCACGTGTACCATTGTTCCTTGACACACACTGCCCCTCGGCTAGGACTGCAAACATCTATGCTAAGAATAAGCCAACATGATTCTTTGAACAAGATAACTACTTGAATAAATCAGGATTCTTTTAGTGACAATGGATTGAAACCCAGTTTGAAGAGACTTGTGCAAGAAAGGGCCAGGGCCTCAGTATGGTGGGTTCTAGCTGCCCAGACGATGGCATCCTGACTTTGTCTCTCTCTATTTTTTGGCTTTGCATCCCTGTGTCATTCTATTCCCAGGAAGATCACCTGTCATGGTGGCAAGATGTCTGCCAGCAGCTCCAGGCTGACATCCCCCTGGCACAGCCACCCTACAAGAATAGGTGCTTCTCTTTCCCAACTGTTCTAGCTGAAGTCTTAGGGTCCCACTGAACCAGTGTGGGTATTGTGCCCATCCCTCTATGGAGGTGTAGTCATCCCCATCCAAAACCACATGGGCTAAAAATAAAAGCAAGGAAGGGCTGGGTCCCCAAAGACAATCAAGGTGCTAGTCCTAGGAGAAGGGGGCTGGATGCAGGACGGCCAAGGTCAATGGTGGCCACACTGTGTTGCTCTTTGTGCAGTGGTCTAGAGTAAGAGTCAAAGCTCCTCTGATGTAACTCCTCCTCCTTCTCCCTCTTAAAGCCCACAAAAATTTATTAGTGACAGAAAGTCTCATAGTTAAGATAATTATTAGTAGAACAAGTGACTAAAAGACCCCATGGCAGTCATCCCTAGAGACCCCTGATAGTGGGAAAGACCCCAGAAGATTTATCTCTGGCTCAGTCCCCAGATCACCCACCATGCCCAGACCTACTTGGCCCCCAACTTGCCTGTGGGTCCCTCTCCTCCTCCCTCAGCCCCCATTGCCCAGTTGTGTATCTCTCTGCTCTGTGATGTGAATCCATCCTGCCTTTCAAGGGCCAGCCTCAGTGCTGCCTCCCCTCTGAAGCCTTATCTGGCCCATCCAGCCTTTTTTGCTGACTCTCTCTCTGAACCTGGTCAGCATGGACCCTCAGTATTACAGTTCACGGTTTACATGTTCTTTAAGAACTTCGTGTGTCTTAGTTTCTCTCCCTACTTGAATTTTACATTCCTGGGGGAAGATTAAGTTTCATGCCCAGCCCTTTCTGTGGTGTCTAACACATAGGGGAGGTGCCCAATTAAGTGCTTCCAATTAATTGAGCAATAGAAAACCAGCCTACCTAAATAGCTTGGAGAGGATGGTTAGATTACTTGACGTCCTTAATTCTGATTTAAAAAGTAATGTAATAACTATAGCAAATATTGATTGAGCTCTGAATGTAGGCTGGAGCCCCTACAGGCATCGTCTCAGGTAATCCTCACAGTGACCCTAAGAGGGTCCCCATTTCACAGATGGGGAAACTGAGTCTCAGAGAACTTAGTCACTTATCCTAGATCATACAGCTAATAAGTGGTGACATGGGAGTTAGAACCCAGGCATGCCTGCCTTCTCATTTCCTATTATATTAATCTTTTACATGCTTATCAGTGGAGCTTCCTGCTGCCTGATTTTAAAGAGCAAGGTGATTGGTTAGAGCACGAGGAATCACAGATATTTTAGACCCGTCTTCTGCCACCTGGGCTCCCAGTGCCTCTACGGGGGATCCTTATTAGATTATACCCAGGGATGAGGGGTCACACACCTACCCCAGAGCCAACGAGAAGGTAGGGGCACAGGGATTTCACAAAAGGAGATGCCTCCAGGGCTCTGTAGACAGCGAGGTGCTTTTTGATTAAACGAGGGTAGAGTAGTCTTTGGGAAAACGTTAGCTGGAGGGTGGGCTTCAAAATTTAAGCTTGCCCCCTGGCTGCCTGTCATTAGGCGTGGCCCTGACTTTTCTCCTGCTCCCCGACCAGGGTGACCAGGCAGGGGACCTTCCTCAGAGAGTGGCTTTCAGGATTTGGAAAGCAACCAAATTTTGATCTCAAAGGAAACCAAAATCTGGAGAAAATGGCGAGTATTTTTTATGGCCTCTTGGCTGATGTGGTCACCTGTGGTGCTGACGAAGCCCTCGGTCCAAGGGATCTTGTTTCTCTGATGTACACTAACCTAGTCATATGGGTTAACATCTTCTCAAGAGCAGATCCAATTGGATGTGTGCCATTAATCCTCACAATACCCCTCAGAGGGTCAGAGAGCTGGTGTTCTCACAACTGAGGGACAGCGAGATCAAGTCACGTCCCAGGTTACACAGAAGCAGAGGAGGGCCCGGACTGGGGATAGAAGAGCTTGGAGGTTCTTAGGATCCACGCCTGCTCACTTCTCCATGAGGTTACGATAGAAAAAAATTAAAACCCAAAGAATTATATAGGCTAAGTAAAATTCTCTGGGTAAATTGTTAAGAGAAAAATCATTGCTGGACCCAAGAGAAATGAAAACATACGTTCACACAAAAACTGTACACAAAGGTTCATAGCAGCATTATTCAACAATAGTCAAACAGAGGAAACAAGCCAAATGTCCATTAGCTGATGAATGGATCAATGAAATGTGACATATCCATATAACGAAATATTATTCAGCAATAAAAAGAAATGAAATTCTGACACATGCTACAAGACATTACGCTTTTTAAGGGAAAGAAGCCCATGCTGTATGATTCCATTTATATGAAATGGCCAGAACAGGCAATTCTATAGAGACAGAAAGTAGATTAGTGGTTGCACAGGCTTGGCAGGAGGGGACAATGGGGAGTGATTACTAATATGTATGGGGTTTCTTTTTGGGATGACAAAAATGTTCTAAAATTAGATAATGGTGATGGTTGCACAGCCATGTGAATATACTAAACCACTTAATTGTATACTTTAAGTGGGTGAACTGTATGGTATGTGAATTATATCTCAATAAAGTTGTTTAAAAACCCAAACCATGGCTAATAAAATAATGAACCCAGTGACAGGGCTTCACTGAAGGATGTGGTCTCTCCTTGTCTGCTCTGATAAGCTTAGATCTTGTCCCATGGAGCTTGGCCACAGGCCACACCAACAATTCAAGTGGAAAGAATATAGATGGAAAGACAGGATCCCTAGATTTCTCCCCAGAGTCTAAACTAGGACGATTTTCCCCGCTCTTTCCTATAGAGATGATTTAAAATTTTACGGAATCAATCTCACTATTCTATTTTCATTTCTGGGTTTCAAATCATGCTTCAAAAAGCATTCCCCATTCTAAGATTACAAATCTTATTAACTAATGTTTTCCTGTAAAGTTTGTCTTCTTACATTTAAATCTCTGATTCATCAGGAATTTGAATAATAAACTGGGGATACTGGTGGTTTTGGTTCGTTTTGCCAAATACATAGCCAATTATTAAATCAGGGCTTTTAAATTTCAGGTTAAAATGGACTGGGGGTATCTCGTAATTTCCTGAAATTAAATGTAAAAAAAAATGGGGCCGGCCCGGTGGCATAGTGGTTAAGTTTGTTAGCTCCACTTCAGTGGACTGGGGTTCACAGGTTTGGATCCAAGGCACGGACCTATGCACCGCTTGTCAAGCCATGCGGCAGGTGTCCCACATAAAGTGGAAGAAGATGGGCACAGATGTTAGCTCAGTGCCAGTCTTCCTCAGCAAAAAGAGGAAGATTGGCAACAGATGTTAGCTCAGGACTCATCTTCCTCACCAAAAAAAGAAAAAAAAGTCTGAGTGTGTGTGTGTGTGCGTGTATGTTTATTTTTCTGGGGAACAGGGTTTAGATATTGTCAAATTCTCAAGGGGTTTTATGACTCACAGAAAAACCACTGGGCTCTCTAATTTCATAACCTGCGGTCCAGGTAGACTAGCTTTGCACATTCCAATGCACTGAGGCCAAATCTGAGCCAACAGGACAGTTATTAAACAATTACAGGGGAGGCCTGAGTGGTTTCTCCTGGGGAAGGTTCTCTGTCACATGTCGAGTGACAGTCACACCACCCTTTGCTTTGACATTTTGCTGAGGCAGAGAACAAGAAGTGATGCTCACTGGCTCCCCTTGGGCCTAGAAAACTTTAGGTTTTTAATTGTCTGCTGACAAATCAATGGAACTAATAAATCATTTTACCTGACAAAACTTAAAGCCCTCCTGTTACAAAGAATTTGAGGAGGCTTACAGGCCAATAAATGTAACTAAATGATAAAGTGGAAATAAAACTGCCACTACAAAGAAGGTGGCAGATCCTTATGTGCAGACTCATACATTCACATAATAAATATATACACAACACCCACTGTGTGCAGGCGTTGTCTAGACTGGTGGT